GAGAGAGAGGTGTTAGGGGATGGCATACTTGTGCTGCGTTGGTGCAGTCGATAGGAAACTCGCTTTCAAATTCAGGTGACTCGCTGCAGCCCACGACCGGTGTTCCAAACCGGGTGGTTCCCAGCTTCACCCAGCCTCTAGCTAGGTAATGGGTACCAGAGTTAACGTCGCTGTAGCTACAGAGATTCGTGCACGCGGTGACACAGGCGGACAGTTTCTCACTAGCTGTCCGTAATGGTGGCAAAGCACTTATGGTTTAAAACCGTGTGCAATGACGCTGGTTCACATCTCCCGACTTTTTTTTTTTTAAATACTTGTGTATATGGCTTCTATTTCTTCGCTCTGACCGGCTGGAAACTCCGGCAGACACTTTTAGCCCTTCTACTTCTAGACTTTAGTCTTGTTCCAACACTTGAATTCCGTGTACACACCCGTTTTACAGATCTGGCTTACTTGTGTCAAACTGTTGGTGCCTCCGACTTCGAATAAAAAATGTCCCTGACTGGTCGCCTATTACAACATGTTTTTTTTTACCCCGCACCCGCCTTTCTCGCGATAGGGCCCCGGAACGCCTGTGGGGCCTGTGTATGTTCAACGTGTTTATAAATATTAGGGCTGTACCGAATAGTGATTTTCACTATTCGGCCGAATACGAATAGTGAGACCAACTATTCAGCCGAATACAAATACGAATAGTGTATCATCATCAATAGGTGACTTGCCCACTGCCGTGGGCGATCATGCCTCTCCACAATCTGCTGTCTCCTGCAGCATATAACAGTTCGTATGCTGACACACCTCCATGCCATGCAACAAGACTGTCAAGAATCTTCTATCTTTGTCTTCCTCTATCCCTCCTTCCACAGATCTTTCCAGTGGTCACTAAATGTTCCATTTTCCCTCTTCTCATAACATGGCTGAAAAATGACGACTGTCTCCTTCTGATGTCTGTGATTTGTTGTCTTCGGGCTCCCGCCTCTTTCAAAACCATCGTTTGCTCGGCCGTCCGTTCGATGTAATTTAAACGCACCTTCATATTCTCGTTAGCAATATCTTCAGATTTGATTTAAGCGAAGACACCCTGAAGGAACGAAAAATGCATGATCTCTCTCTTTCTCTCCCCCCCCCCCTCTCTCTCTCTCTCTTTCACACAGACACACACACGCACACACAAACACACACACGGAAGAAAGGTAACCACTATTCGTATTCGGCCCGACCGCAACTATTCGGCCGAATACAGAATAGTTATTAGGTCCACTATTCGGCCACAAAGTGAATATTCGGTACAGCCCTAATAAATAAATATATATATATATATTTTGTGTGTGTGTGTGTGTGTGTGTGTGTGTGTGTGTGTCTGTCTTTCCTGTGTGTTTTTTTTGGTTTCTTGTCCTCTATTTCCTTGTCTTATCTGTCTCTGTTCCTTTCTCTACCCGTCTCTTTCTCTCACACAGTCTCTCTCACTCCATCTCTCTCTTCCACACTCTCTCTCCCTCTCTGTCTCTCTCTATTTCTTCCCACTATGCACACTGCCCCTTTCTCTCTACTTGTCTTGCGTCCTCTCTATTCTCTTTCTGTCTGTTTTTTTTTTAAATCTTTTGTTCCGTCCTGTTTCTACCCCTTCCCAAGTTTTTCTGACATTCTCTCTCCTGTTCCATGTCTTGTTTTTTCTCTTTCTCTCTCTCTCTCTCTTCCTGTCTCTCTCTCTCTCTCTCTCTTTCTCTCCCCTTCTCTCCCTCTCTTTCCACACATATTGTTTATGAACCTACCACCTTGATACAGTTAACAAATTGTACCACTGGATTAACACAACAGTCTTCTTCTTTTGTGATATTCCAACAGTAATGATCTAGTTTCACATGCACAGTCAAAACCTGTCAGTATCGGAGGCATTCCTTTCAATGTTCTGACAGTAACTGTCACTATAAGCCAGAGTTGTCCTTCCTTTCATGTGTCGGTGCCCTTGACTGACTCTGGGCCCTCTGTGTTTCCTCAGGCTTTGCTTAATCCGACTTAACGCTCTCGTTAAAAGCGACTCTCTGTGGAGTGTCACGTTTATTTGTTGTCCAGGGCAGATGCAACTTTTGGTTGAGTGGGAGGATAAGGGTAACATTTTAAATGAAGGACCGTTTCCACGCCTTGAGATGTATTGGGCGGTAAAAGCAACGTTGATCTCCCCCACGCCCCACACATATACACACTTGCTCCCTTCTGATTGGCAGTTTCTGAACGTGTCACCTTGACATAAGGTTACGGGGGTGTTCCGCAATGCCGTTGATATCGCGTGTCGTATATTTCAGCACGCCAGCGCTTTTTAAAACTCCAGAAACACGGGGAAACTGGTCCTAACACAACCCTCCTAGAGAGTGATGCAACGTATGTCACAGGCATTCTTTTTCTCCGAATGAAAATGTAAATGCAAGACACCACAGAAAGCAAACAACAGAGCGGGACACACCCGTAACCTTCAGGAAAGGCGACCAGCCCAACAAACTTGTGAATAAAAAGTAGCCTTCACTATTTGGGGACATTATCGTGAACCTAATCGTATTAGGCACTTGGTGGGTGGTGTGGTCATCATCACATTGGCCGCATTTACTTCCCAGGACTGCACCCGGTACCCACTCGAGGCTGGGTCGACCTGGGAGCCAAAGTAGACCCAGTCATCGGGAGCTACAGCTAAGAAGTGGTTAGACGTTAGCCTGCCGACACGACTGTCCTGAATTCGAATATGCATGGAGGCAGATTATTCTTTTAATTGACTTGGGTTGTCAGATAGACCCAGCCTAAAACGGGTACCCGGAAAGGTCCAGGAAAGTAAAGACGATCAGCGTGATGATGACATCATAGGGTGGCCATAATATCTTGAGCTGAAACTGGGAAACACCCACAGCAAATTTGAACTGAAAACGGGATGCGCTAAGAAAATTAGCCCCCTGACCCCCGACCCCTTATTATCTAGGTAACCGGGACAAAGGGGTTAATTAATCGCTTGACAGGGACTTAAAACCCGCTCAAGTCTCCAAGAAATAAACGAAACAATACACGCTTTAATTACACTGAAAAAAAAGGTGCTGCAATGAAAATCCGCACCAACACATTTCAGGCATTAACAGTATCTTAAAAACTGTTAAATCAAATAACGTCTACAGATATAAGTATAAGTGTATGTTCTATTCTATAGTTCTTATTGCTGGATTTTTATAAAGCGGACCAGTTGATGGTTTGTGTTTATGGGGGGGGGGGGGGGGGGGGGGGGTTTGGGGGGGGGGGGAATTACGAAAGGATGGCCGGGACAAACTTAAGAAACGAGACTGTCGCAGTAAAAACGGGACTGATGGTTGTCCTAAGACTTTAACTCCTAAATGACGACTGGTGTACAAAATAATGATTGATTGATTGATTAGTTGGTACCTTTGCGTATTTCTAGACGATACTGTATACACTATCAGTCTAGCACCTTTTGCTTGACGGCACCACTGACGTGAACATTTTCGGTCACCTTGTTTACACTTCTTCTTCTTCTTCTTCTTCTTCTTCTTCTTCTTCTTCTTCTTCTTCTTCTTCTTCTTCTTCTTCTTCTTCTTCTTCTTCTTCTTCTTTTTCTTCTTCTTCTTCTTCTTCTTCTTCTTCTTCTTCTTCTTCTTCTTCTTCTTCTTCTTCTTCTTCTACTTCTTCTTCTTCTTCTTCTACTACTTTTTCCCTTTAACATTGAACCTCAGCTAAGTGTCGGGGGAGATGTAACATTCATTGAGGAGCCCTGTCAAGAGCACTATTAAAACTAATGTTCATTTCTGTCAGGCTGTTCTTAATGCCATCACTCCATATTTTCTGAAGTCTTCCTCTCACTCTATACCCGTTGTAACGTTTTAGTGTGGCTCGCTGTGGCAGATAGTACCAGGGCATTCTTGTTTGGTGTCCAAACCACTTCATTTGCTGTTTTTATGAAATGGCTAGCAGGCTGCCTTGTCGCCCCCGTGGCCATAGGTTCGAATCTCTCTAGCAACTGCATTATGCATACACTCCATGTACTTGTTTCTGGATTGTGCCAAAGCTAATTGTTTGTTCACCAAGTTTTTCTTGCCGTTTTTCATTGAAGAAAAAAAATACAAAATCGTCACGTTTAACCGTCATCCCCAAAGGGGAGCTTTTGGTTATAATTGTGGCTGGGTTATGTGCTCCAGTAACACCTGTTTTTGACGGTTCAACCCCACCAGGATATCACACCGAGCGATAAACACCCGGTGACATAAAGTACCACCATGCGGATGAGGATCACATGGGGGCCGCTGCCAGAAGTCCCGTTCAACAGATATGTTGGGTTATATTTGGGCCCCTGACTACAGCCGGAGTTTTGTTTTGAAATAACGGGAAAATGCGTCCCAAATCGGGACATGGCTTGTATGGGGTGTTCTGCATTTCACACACACGCACACTCATACACACACACACACACATTTACACACACACAGTAATGACATTTCAAATTTAAAGCGTGCAAAATAGCATTTTTCTGTTTTAATTGTTCCCTAAGATGGAAATCAAAAGGTAGAATTGCAATACGTTTTTAATTTTTACGTTATTTGAAGCACCACCCTGGCTTTTGCCGGGGGCGTTGAATATAGCTGGGCCATAAATGTGGCCATAACGGCTGAACGTGGTTTTTAGGACCTTTCCACGGGTGATCCTCAGTGGCATGGTGGCACTTTGTGTCACCGGGTGTTTATCGCTTGGATGATGTCCTGGTAGGGTACAACAAGCAAGCACAAGTTAAAAGTTTACTTGTCCCAATGTCCTTCGCATAAAAATAAAAAGACAGCTGAATATAACTTTTATTTCATCCTCAGCTGCGAATACCATTTCTAGCAACCCAGCCATCGAATGTCTGCATGCTAATCTGTGGCATCTCCAGTTGTGAGTTCTGTCCCTTCTTTCTGCAGTATCGCGACCTTGAAGTCATCGTTACCTAGCAACTTGCTTTTGGATTGTTTACAAACATGAAGCCCGTTCTGGAGTTACTGAAGAGCTTCTATATACAGCGGATAATTCTATACTGTGTGATCGCTGTGTTTAGTTTTCTGGTTATCGTACCTTTAGGGGATCTCAAGGTAAGTTTGTTTGTTTGTTGTTGTTTGCTTTAGTTCATGACATCATTATCATATCATCATAATAATACTCTTCCTCTTCTTTTTCTTCTTCTTTTCCCGCACGTAGGAAGGAAGTTTTGATATGTTGACAGAAAGAGATAGAGCACTGCTCTTCTGTTTTGGCAACTTCTGCAGCGTGCTTTGGTCCAAATGTACTGGTGTTACCTTTCCTTTGGAGTAAACAAGACAGCGGGAGAGAGAGAGAGAGAGAGAGAGAGAGAGAGAGAGAGAGAGAGAGAGAGCATGATGCCTGAGCATCACATGGTCTCTACAATAATGCCCAGACGTTGTGCTATGGGGGAGGGGGAGGGGGGGCAATATGACACTATCGCCTGGAAAGAAGGGAAAAGTGTCAACAACAACAGACTGTGTGAAAACCTAAGACATCTCGCTCCAGCGCGAGTGTCTTCTGTGGGACTGTCTTTTTAACCAAGGCCAGGTCACTCCTATAAATGTCATAAGGAAGAAAAGAAATTGGAAACACTGTGACAGAAGATACCAGGATATGAAGATGTAGACAACAGTCTTGTCTGAGTTGACAACCTGAGAAAGAGGGGAAATGGACAGGCGTACAGAAGGGCTCGCCCTGCACCTTGGTGGAGTATCGATGCATGATAAAACAGACGTGGTTAGGGCCTTATGGGAGAACGGGTTCAGTTCGGAGGAGCCAGTGGATCACCACAGTCTGGTGAGACTGACAATACAGCCGGGAGTGACGAGGGGATCTAGCCGATACTTGACGCTCAGAGGACGTATAATTAGAGTGCTACTGATACCGTTGGTATTGGAACTCTGCACTGGCTGCTGAAGATGGGGGCGAAGCGCTTATGAGAGTACTGTGATGTCGATTCTTAAATTAAATCAACTTATCAACTCAACTCACCTATCGAGTGCCCATTCGACTATACAGAGATAAGCCTAACCAGGTACTTGTATGTCTGATTTGCCATCTGCATTGAAAAACAGGCTCCTTTAATTTACTTTCTTTGCGGAGATGACACCTGATAAATTTATTGTTTCCTGAAGTCTCATTTGCAAAATTTGTCTACTCTACGACAGCAAATCAATAGTTTTCAGTTGCTTATCCCTTTCGAGAGGTCCTAATACTATCTTGAATAAGACAGATTTTGTTGTTGAATTGTTTCACTTGAAATTCTTTTACAAGTTTAAGTGTCATGCTTATACATTTGTCATTCCCGTGAGGGATGCAATGTTTTGTTATTTGAAGCCCCGCCCTGGCTTCTTCCGGGGGGGGGGGGGGGTCCTGAAAATAGCCGGGCTGTAAATATGGCCTAGGCCATAGATATGACCTAACGGCTGAAAGTGGTTTCTGGGACCACTCCATGGGTGATCCTCATCCGCATAGTGGCACTATGTGTCACCGGGTGTTTGTCGCTTGTGTGATGTCTTGGTGGAGAACAACTACATACCTACCTTAAGTGTGATGATCCGATGACACAGAGGTGTCTCCAGGGCTGTCTTTTTCTTCATATTCTTCTTCTCCTTCTCCTCCTTCTTTTTCTCCTTATCGTTCTCCTCCTCTCTCCCGATTTACTTCATCGTTTGTTGGGGAGGAAAAGTCTAATACTACTGTGTGCTCTTTCGAATGCTTGTACCCCCACCCCCCCCCCCACTTGTGGGTTCCGGGGGACTGTTATAGGGAAAAACAAGAATAGACCCACTGCCTACCCAAAAGCATGTCGTAAGAGACGACTAATTGGGAGCTCCCTTCAAAGTTAGAGTGCATTTGCCTGAGAGCCAAGGAACCAACATTCTGACACATGAGTCAGATCTGTCAAACGGATGCACACGCAACACTAAAGCTATGGAACAGGACTGCAGTTCAGAAGTGGACGAACAACCAGAACTTTCCTCCAGAGTTTACAGCTAGTGAAGGATGAGAAGAAGAAGAATGCTTGGATAAGTTTATCGATATTTCTCTAAGGTTACGCTTGATGCCGCAGTTCCATATTTAGCATGGTCTTGTTCTTGTTCTGTTTTCATTATACTTAGTCAGTCTGTCTCTCTGTGGCAACTGTTGCACGCGTATTCTGGTCTAATTTCTCTACTGACAGTTACCGCAGGTTGCGTCTCCTTTGCAGAACGTTGCAGAACCAATCCCAGCATTTTTTTGGCTGTTATGGTTTGTCTAGGCACATTTTACGCTCAGTAGTTTTCCATTGCATATGAAAGGTCAGCTCTCGGTACTACTGTCGAAACCAACGCAAGAAAAACCGCCCGCAGCTGGGATCAAACCCGGCACCCCGGCATCAACCATTAAGCCACAGACGTCTACCTACTGACTGCGACCGGCTCCAGCTGACAGTCCGTGCTGCTGACGTCAACGGGTCGGACAAACGATGCGTTAACGCAGCGGTTCTCAAACAAGATATAAACTATTTTTGACAGAAGCAAGGGAAGACAACTGCAATTTTAAACTTTTAAGTATCTGCATGCCTTCTTTAATAATTTCACAATTTTTTAGCCGACTTTTCTTGATTATTGCCGCGACGCCCCTAGCATACGCTCATGGCACTCCATGGTGCTCGGCGCCCAGTTTGAGAACCGTTACTTTAACGCGTAAGCCCGACCAGGTGACGCTAGCATCTCGTCCCTGCAGCTCGAGCCGGTCGTGTACTGACCGTACAAGGTCATGATAAACGCGTAGGCATCTGTACATCCAGATTATGAACCGTACGCACAGCTATATACACATTACTGGTTAGTGTATACGCACGCAAACACACACGCGCGCGCACACATACACATTCACACTACACACAGGATATCCGACACTCTTTGTCTCCGTCCTCGCTGAGACTGCTGTTCATTAATTCGTTGATGTTATCCTCCCACTGATATCGCTGTCTACCTCTTGGTTGCATGCTTTCAACTTTTTCCTTCATTTAACAAACCGTCACGCATCTGGACATAAGAAACATTCAGCAAACAAACAAAAAAACTTGAGATATTCAACTCTTTTCTGACTTTAGTGCTAACTTATTGATGCTAGAGTTGGAAAGTAACGGTAGCTCTAGATGAAAATTTGAAAATGACAAATGTTGAGAACAAAAGTCTTAGAAGAATACTAAATCTCCACTGGGCAGATTTCATATCCAATGAGACCCTGTGTATAACCATCATCAGGGAAGGCTCAACCATTGGCCTAATGAACACCCAAGACCTACAACAGGTGGCAACAAACCGCCAGACATACAAAGTTATGACCTCTATCCAATGCATCGTCCTAGGCTCAAGAGGAAAGACTACCTGGTTCTTCAGTATGCCCGCATTTACAGAACATGAATATTTGATTGTTTTTATTTCCATGAAATACAACTCATTCTTCATTACATCCGTATTTCAGCGTTGAACTTCCACATCCCAGGCCTCGTTAACTATGTAGGCATCTGAAATATTGATCTAAGTAATTGTTTCGTACTCGCGCCTGCACAATTTGTCATTGTCATGACAACCAGCAAAACGCGTCGTTCAAGCTCAGCTTGTTTTTTCAACCGCTCAACAGGCAGACATCAGAGAGTGGCGGGAGTTGTCTGGGACTCAAGGACACCTTTAGACTTGAATCTTGATGGGGTGGATCTATAGGGGCGTGTAGTGCGGTTGGGCCAGTAGAGTATGACGGTGCTTTTTCAGTGTCAAAGCATTACTTGATAGTAATATTTGCAGCATGTGTAGTATTTGTAGTAATAGTGGTAGTAGTAGTAGTAATAGTTGTTGTTATGTTGTAGCAGCAGTACTACTACTACTACTACGACGACTACTACTGCTGCTACTACTACTACTACTACTACTACTACTACTACTACTACTACTACTACTACTACTACTACTACTACTACTACTACGACGACGACGACTGCTGCTACCTACTACTATGCCGGTACTACTACTACTACTACTAACTAGTACTACTACTACTACTACTACTACTACACTACTACTACTACAGGAGACCATCCACCACCACCCACCACCAGTAGATAGTAGTAGTAGTAGTAGTAGTAGTAGTAGTAGTAGTAGTAGTAGTAGTAGTAGTATCATCAGCAGGAGCATTAGAAGAAGTAGTAGTAGTAGTAGTAGTAGTAGTAGTAGTAGTAGTAGTAGTCGAAAAAGTAGTAGTAGCAGCAGTAGTAGTAGTCATAGTAATAGCAGTAGTAGTAGTAGTAGTAGTAGTAGTAGTAGTAGTAGTAGTAGTAGTAGTAGTAGCAGCAGTAGTAGTTGTAGTATTAGTAGTAGTAGTAGTAGCAGCAGTAGTAGTAGTAATTGCAGTAGTATTAGTAATAGTAGTATTAGTAGTAGTAGTTTGTACTTTTCATAAGAGAGGCAATGAACTAGGGCAATGTAACCTTTCAGGCATGCCGTAATAGGCTGCTAAAGATGTGTAGATCAACAGAGTTTTATCCCATATGTCTTGATCTCTCCCAACAGAATGGTTGGCCGTGGTGAAGTGTTAACGCTCTTTGCCTGGTATTCTGGACGTCGTGTGGTTGTTTCACGATTTGACCTTCTTTTGACTGCTTCATTAGGTCGTAGTTAAGGTCTTTTATCGTGTCTGTCATATCCCTAGAATAATGAAACACGTTCGCAACCCCTAAACACAGACGTTGCAATTAATCATATTACAAACACAGCTTCGTGACCACAATGCCAACACAATATGTAAACAGAATATAATTAAAATAAACATTGTGCCGAATCTGACTGATTACGCGGCGAGACGGCAGGCTCTGCTAACACAATATATAAACATATTATTGACTGAGTTTATGACATGATTGTAATGTCAAATATTCTAAATTAAATTCTAAAAGTAATGGGGACATGGGAAATCAACATGGAAAATAAGTTATATGTCAGCAGTCGTCCCCATGTGGGATGCAATTGTTCGCTATTTGAAACCCCACCCTGGCTTTTGCCGGGAGCCCTGAATATAGCCTGGC